ATAATATCCTCAGTCCTGCTCTGTCCCGCTGACAGTGAGAAGGACGTGGGCATTCGCTGCTTGCATCCAGATGTTTCATCTGGCAGACGTACGGCCAACCTATCTTATCTCCCCGTCCTGCTGCTGGCAGAGCAGACCATGGCCATGCTGTCCCCCCTTCCTCTGGGCTGCCATCGCCCTCCTTCCCCTTCCCTGGGCCATGAACTTAGAGATGGTGGGGACAGATCACTGGTGCCTGACCTCTCAGCCCAGGGGAGCCGCTGCCGTTCTCCCACCAAACATTCCGTGTCCCCCAGGCCACAGGGTGTCTCAGTGCCACCCGGCATGACACGGATCAGCTGTAAGGTCTGGCTGCCAGGGCTGGGGTGGGGGGTCGCCTGGGCACCCTCCGCACTCCTCACCCGATAGCGGCGTTGAAGATTTCTGTTCTACTTGTGCACCAACTCAGAAACTGGCAATCTCTGAAGAGCAATCTCTGGAGCTGCTCTTAGGTTGTTTTTGTCACAGTCCTCCAATCTGAGTTCTTTATTTTATTTTTATTTTATTTTATTCTATTCTATTTTTAAAGTCACAAACACTCAGGGGTTCCAGAAAAGGGGGGGAGGTGTTCTCTGGAGGGCAGCAGGCTTTCCAAGGTACTGTCTGAGCGTCTTTAAAAGCGGGCATCTCGTTAGCTAATACATTACACCAATCAAGGAGAGTTATCTTAAGCCACAATTAATCTGCTCCCTGGCATATGTTGATAGGAAAGCATCATGCTGTTTCTTAATTAAAAGCAAACGGATTAAAAATGATTAATAAGAGTATTAAATATTCTCCTAAACTAAAAGCTTTGGGATTCTTGGGTAAATCTAGCTTTACGCAGGTCTGCAACCGTAAGGCAGCTTCTTGGGGTTTTTTTTTTTTCCCTTCTCTGAAATCTTCCTAAGTGCCCTACTTGGTATGCAGGGAGCATCTCCGTCGTGTCTAGGGGCAGAAGCAAGGAGCAAAACCTAACGAGTTTAAAATAATAAGAAGAAAAAACAATGAAATAAGCAAAATCTTGAGGTTGGAATGACATCACTGATTTAAGACAATCATAGACATAGTGTTAAAAAAAAAAAAAATAATCTGAGTTTCTTTAATTTAAAGTGCATCAGGCAGGACCGACGCTGGGGGCTGGAGTAGGGTCTGCACTTTGGGCTTCCGCACGGTTGTGCCGGCTCTCGCCCGTGGGTGCAGCGACACCTTTATCAGCACGGGGGAGGCGTGTGGCTTGGGAGAGTCCCAGGGAAGAGCAACACAATTTCTTGGACTTTGGAGACTGGTAGTTAAATATATAAATAAAGGGTGGGCAGTTGGGCAGTGAGGAGGCTCATCAGTGCGAGTGTCGCCTTTGCGCTCCTCTCCGGAGCAAGGATGGGGAAAATCAGCTTTGTGGAGGAGAGCAGGAGAGGTGAGACGCTGCCTCGGACGGCGTGTTGGGCTGGAGGAACCCGTTGCGTGCAGTGGAGTAGAGTCCTGGTAGAGGAGATGTTGTGCTGGCTTCACCGCTGCCGCTCCACGGGTCTTCGCCTTTGGGTTCGACCATCCATCGTGTGCTCCTGCCCCGCGCTCCCCGGCCAGCCCCTGAAGTCTCCCTGCTCCCAGCCAGGCCATGGAGACCCGTGTGAGGATCAAGGGTGTTCAGGGCTCCTGGGCAGAGCGGTGGTGGCTCTGCTGCCCGCGGCTGCGGGGGTCCGGAGGGTCCCCGCTCAGCCCCGCGGTGCGTTCCGGCATGGAGCTCATTGTCATTCTGACTTTCACTTGGTTAGTGATAACAGAGAAGGATAGTGCACCTTTAAATGACGAGCTTTGTGTTTAATTACCCAAATAAAATGACATAAATATGAATGAGCGCTAATGGCGGTACTTGCTTTTCCGGAAACCATTAACAAAACGATTCTTAAATGATTTGTAAAGAAAATGAGAGGAGAAGAGAGGAGCGAGAAGGCTATTAGGCCTCTAACACACTCCTGAATTATTATGTAGTCAACTACCTAGCAAATACCAGGTGAAATGATCTTGCAAAAGGGAAAAAAAGGGGTTTGTTGCTGAGGCTTTTCAGGGATGTGGACACCCCGACCTGCTGAAGGGGCTGTTCGGTTTCGGGGCTGGATCAGGGATCCCCTGATCCCTGGGGGACACTGACACCAGCCAGTCTGTAGGTGACGGGGACTCGTGGGTCCCGTGACACCTTAGCACTGGCAGGAGCCCCACATCAGCTGCATCTGTCCTCACCTCTGGGGCAGTTGTATGCCACCAGACGTTGCGCATCTCGTCCCAGAAGGAAGCAGGTTTTCTGGGACAGCTGCCGGGGCTGACGCAGCTGCTTTTTGCCAATACTTGCGAGTTAAATTTCGGGAACGGTACGTGGGGAGCGGGAGCGTGCGCAGCACCGGGACGCGCCGGCTGACGCTCGCCGTTTGTTTGCAGGCGTACTTGTGGGACAGCAACAAGGACCTGGTGGAGTGGCTGGAAAAACAGCTAACGGAAGAAGAAGGCGTTCGCTCAGTCGTGGATGAGAACATCAAATACATCTCGAGGGACTACATCCTCAAACAGATCCGGAGGTAAGCAGCTCCGCCCCTGCAGAACAGCAATTTTAAAAAGTTCAGCCTCTCATCTTGGCCATGTGGGCTTCCCCAGCTGGGGAAAGTGGATCCGTCAGTTCCACATTCACTGGCCTTTTTGGGTGGCACACACAGAAGGAGTCTGTGGAAATGCAGTTTCCTTTGGAAACGCAAATCCAGGGACAGATGTGGAGCTATTGTGAACCAGAGGGATTTGTACAAAGTGTGTGTCTCCTGTCCCCCTGTCCCACCTGCGGGTGCCGTGAGTGAAATCGCAACGCAGCAGAGCAGAGATGGAATCCAGCAGTATCCGGGCATCCCTGGCCGTGCCCGCCCTTCCCTGGAACAGGGGCCCTGAAGAGCCAGCACACGGAAATCTCACTGCTCATGTGTCTTTTCTCCATCTGAGACAGAAAATGGAAAAGTGTTATTTTGTAGGAAGTCACTTATTTTAGAGGGCTGCACAGGGCGTGAAGCAAGGAGAGAAAGCAAATCTCTGAGCTGTGCTACTGCTACCAAAGCGGTGCGTTGACCACAGGGAGCCAGAATATCCTTACAGCTTCCTTCCCTTTATTTCTTCTAGCTCCAGACTTTCCAGGCAAGCTACCTGCTCAATGTCATGAAGTGCCCAGTTCCCTTTGGTTGCTCTTTAGAACTACACCAAATAAACCCCCAAAATACTAAAGCATTGGTAGAGTATCTGTTCCTCCTGCTTGTGAGTTACTGTGCCCGTTGGCACAGACGTTCATCCGGCGGAGCCGCGTGAGCCAAACACTTTGCTAGACTGGAACAGATCTAATTTTGGTAATTTTTGTGTCTTACACTGGAGGTCCCTTCAAGCAGCTTTGTCTGTGAGACAGTAGAGCTGGGGGAGGGCACTGAACTGCGGAGTGAAGCTCCTCGGGTTTCCGTGTCCCGTGCCTGGCTCCGTAGGGTGTCTCTTCCCATCATTTCCACCAGTTTCTCCATCCGTGCTACAGCGGACGGGGCTCTGCGTCCTCGGGGAGGGGTGGATGCGGGTGCTCCCAGCAGCCTCTGAAGGTGCTGCTGGTGGGATCAGGGCACGCTCCAGAGCTCCTGGCCTCCCCATGCCCACCCTGGGTCGGCACGGTCCAGCCTCTCGGGATTCCAGGCTCTGTGTGTGCCTGAGGAGCTCTGCCACCAGCAAACTGAGTGGCACCAGGGCATCCGAGCGAGCAGAGCTCCTGGCTGCTCGCAGTCAGCTCGCACCAGTG